ACCTTACTGCTCCTTGGAAATAAATTGACTGAAGCACAGTGTTTTTGCCCTCTCCTGCTTCCTTTCCTCTTCTTTTCCTTCTGATTTCCCAGCTGCAGTGAGCCCCCCTGGCATGGTGCTGCTCCAGACACAGCAGGCATAGGGAATGTGTGTGGTGATCGTGGAGGAGTTAGATGGGCACCAGGGATAGATGGGCAAGTGGGGTGGGAGGCTGTGTATGGGATATGTGTTTACGAGGATTTCAGTTTAGGATGAACTTTAAATGCTCATTGGACCATGTAATGAAAGCCTAGATTTTACACATTCCTGCCCTGGTGGTATAGTGAGCTAAGTATTTGAACCCACCATTGCTCTATGGGAGAAAGATAATGCAGTCTGCTCCTCTCAAGACTTTTAGTCTTGAAAGTCCAATGAGTTTTCAAGCTCTGGTGGCTCAGTGGTAAGAAGCTGTGCTGCAATCTCAAAGGCACATGGTTCAAATCTACCAGCCGCTCCTCTAGAGGAAGATGGTCAGTCTTCTCCCGTGCAATTAACTTCCTCTGAAAACCGTCCAGCGGGTCAGCTACCGATTGGTCATGTTGTTGTTAGGTAGGTACCACTGGGTACGACTCACAGTGACCCCGTGACTAGCAGGTCTGATCCTGCCCTACAGGTTGTTGTTAGTTGGAATTGCCTCAAAAGCAGCAAGTTTTGTTTTTTCACTGGTGGCTTAGAATTGGTTCTAATTTATCAGTTGGCCCACTTTCAACACTGTTTTGGAATCAGGAAAGTAACACATAAACTTTCAAGGTCAGCAGAACTACTACTGTGTGCTCCTGATAGGGAAAGTATAGAAACCTTTCAAGAAGGGAATAAAATAGTCTGTGTCCACAGTCACATGTCGTGCAGCATTGAATGATCCTGAAAATAGGCGCTTTAGTGCTCATTTTATATGACTTTGTTAGGTGCTGTCAAGTTGAGTATGACTCAGTGACTCTATGAACAAAGGATCTGAACCCTGTTCTATCCTGGGCTTCCTCAAAATCTTTTACATACTTGAATCTGTTGCTACAGTCACTGTGTCAGTCCCTCTGGTTGAGGGTCTTTATCACCTTTGCCTCCAAAGAGCACCCTGGCCACACCTTCTCTAAGACATGTCTGTCTGTTCTTTTGGCCGTCCATGGGATATTCAGTACTCTTCTCAAGCACCACAGTTCCAAGACATCAGTTCTTCTGTCATCATTATTCATTCAGCTTTCAGACGCAAAACAAGTGATTGAAAAGACATGAAGCAGGTACACTGTAGTGCTCACACTAACATCTTTGTTCCTCAGTAGTTTGGAGTGATCCCTTACTGCTGACTTTCCCCCGTACAGTATGTCTCCTGATCTCCTGATGCTTGTATGAAGTGTGTTGATTTTAAGATGAAGTTGTTGACAGTTCCAGTCTTTTCTCTGTCTATTGTGATGTCACCTATTGGTCCATTGGTGAGAATTTTTGTTTTCTTAATGTTGAGATAGAATCCATATTGAAGTCTTTGGTCTTCTGTGGCAAGTGCTTCAAGTCCTCTTTGCTTTCAGCAAGCAAGCTTATGCTATCTGTATAATGAAGCTTGTTGCTGAGTCTTCCTCTGATCCTGATGCCCCCAGTCTTCTTTGTAGAGTCCAGCTTCTGAAATAATTTGCTCAGGATACAGATTGAAGAAGTATGGAGAAAGGATACAACCCTAATGCACACCTTTATTACTTTTAAATATAGTATTCCTTTGCTCTGTTTGCACACCAGCCTCTAGATTTCATGTGAGCACAGTTCAGTGTTCTGGGATTCCCATTCTTCCCAGTGTTAGCCATAATTCAGGGTGATGCACACAGTCACATGCCTTTACATGGACAGTAAAGCATAAATAGATGTTCTTCTGGTATTCTTTGTTTCAGACAAGATCTGTCTGACATCAGCAGTGAGATCCCTGGTACCACAACCTCTTCTAAATCCAGCTTGAACTTCTGGCAGTCTGTGCACTGTTCTAGCCATTTAAAAAATGATCTTCAGTAATATTTTGCTTGCATGCATGTGATATTAATGATATTATTTGATAATTTCCACATCCTGTTGGATCACCTTTCTTTTGAATAGAAATAAATATAGATGGCTTCCAGTCAGTAGGCCAGGCAACTGCCCCTCAAATTTCCTGGCAAAGACTCGTGCATACGTCCAGGGCTGCATCTGTTAGTTGAAATGTATCAGTTGGTATCCCACCAATTCCTGGAGCTTTATTTTTTTGCCAATGCCTTCATTGCAGTTTCGGCTTTTTCTTTCATACCACTGGCTCTTGATCATTTGGTGCTTCCTGAACTATTTCAGTGTTGGCCAATTCTTTTTGGTACAGTGATTCTGTGTATTCCCTGCTCCTTCTTCTTTTGATGCTTCCTGAATCATTCGAAATTTTGCCCACAGTATCAACTCAAGGCTTTAGTTTACTTTCTAGTTTTTTCAGCTTGAGAAATTCTGAGCGAATTAATGATATTTTAATTCTACAATTCCAGCTCTTTGCATATTATTTTAGAATACTTTGATTTGTCTTCTTGAGCTGCCTTCTGAAAACTTTTGTTCAGCTCTTTTACTTCAGCATCTTTTCCCTTTGTTTTGGCTTCTTGATACTCTAGTACAATTTTCATAGTCTCTTTTTTTTCTTTCATAGTCTCTTTTGACATCCCTTTTGGGTTTTTTTCCTCTGTTGTCTTAGTAGTGACATTTTGCTTTCTTAATGGATGATTTCCTTGATGCCATCCCATAGTTTATTTGATATTACCTCATTGTTGAACAACAACTGGAACAACACATCAGCAGAGAAATGCCAGAAGTCCAGGCTGGGTTTAGAAGGGGTCGTGGTACCAGGGATATTGTAGCTAATGTTAGATGGATTTTAGCTGAAAGCAGGGAGTACCAGAGGAATGTATATTTGTGTTTCATTGACTATGCAAAGATGTTTGACTGTGTGGATCATAGCAAACTATGGCTGACTCTGAGAAGAATGGGAATCCCAGAACACTTGATCGTTCTAATGAGAAGCCTATGCTTGGACCAAGAGGCAATTGTCAGAACAGAGCAAGGAAACATGCATGGTTCAAAATTGGGAAGGGCGTACACCAGGGATGTGTCCTGTCTCCATACCTTTTCAGCCTGTATGCAGAACAGATTATCCGGGAGGCTGGGCTCTATGAGGAGGAATGTGGGGTCAAGATTGGTGGAAGATCTATCAACAATCTGCGTTATGCAGATGACACAACCCTGCTTGCTGAAACTGAGGAGGACCTCAAATGCTTGCTGCAAAGGGTCAAGGACTGCAGCCTTCAATATGGATTGAGGCTCAATGTGAAGAAGACAAAGATTCTCACCACTGGGTCAATTGATAGCATCAGGATGGATGGTGAAGGGATTGAGATTGTTCACAGCTTTAGTTTGCTTGGCTCCACAGTTAACACTCTTGGCACCAGAAGCCAGGAAATTAAAAGACATATAGCCATGGGTGAGTCTGCTGTTAGGGACCTCTCCAAAGTACTGAAGAGCAATGGTGTCTCTCTGGAGACTAAGGTGCATCTGATATAGGCCATGGTCTTTGCAATCACTTTTATGCATCAGAGAGTTGGACAATGACTAAGAGGATAGAAGGAGAATTGATGCGTTTGAGCTGTGGTGCTGGAGAAGAATATTCAGGGTACCATGGACTGCTAGGAAAACAGATTCATCCTGAAAGGGTCAAACTGGGTGGCTCCTTGGAGGCAAGGATTCTGAGGCTCCGTCTAACATACTTTGGACATGTTGTGAGGAGAGACCAGTCCTTGGAGAGGGACATCATGCTTGGTAGGGTGGAGGGGCAGCGCTGGAGGGGAAGGCCCTCTATGAGGTGTGATTCAGTGACTGGGGTAATTGGGATGGGTGTATTGGAGATGATGCCATTGGCACAGGACAGAGAAGAGTTTAGGGCTGTTGTACGTAGGGTCGCTATGAGTCGCAAGCAACTCAATGGCATATAACAACAATTATTGAAAATAACAATCCAGTGATTGTTTTTATGTGTAATTTTGCTTCCATCTTTAGCTCTTTTCCCTGAATAGGGCCACAGAAGTGAGGTTATTGGGGACAAAATTGCTTTTTGGCTACTCTACCTTAATCAATAAACTTCCAGCTTCTTGAAAGAGTATGTCCTTTTCACTGTAACATTATCAGCATTGAGTTTTATCTAAATTTTCTTTTTTGAAATTTACTTTTGAAGTCTTAATATCTTGTACTTAAATATTTAAATAAGCATAAAATCTCAGAGACAGCAGTAGGGCCAGGACTGGAAGGATGAAGTTGGTGGACAAATCAAGGTCAGACTTCCCGAGACCACGTGTTCACTGGGGAACCATTGACTCTGCTCTCCTCTTCCTGTCGACGTTTGCTCCAGAGCAGTGGAGGAAGACCGGTTACTTACCTTCTCCACCACCTGCTCTGTGCCAGGATCTGCTGTCCCCTTCCCCTAGAAGCATCCAGTTAGGACAGGGATTCTTCCTTTAGGGGACACAGCCCAAGATGTGTTTTGTTTGACTGTTGCCTTAATACGCTCAAGAGTAGTCCTGGGTGTAAGCCAGGTGACTCAAGGTAAACCTGACACAATAAGAGATGAGGTGGTTGGTGTGCTCTTGCTGGAAGGAAGCTAGGTGGTAAAAGGAAACCAAGCTGGAGGGGGAACAGGTGTTACTTTGCATTTTGTAATCTGTCTTCTTTGAATTGCTATGTTAAAAAATTCATTCCTGGAGGAAGTTTGGGGTAGAATTTGGACCGTAAATAAAATTTGCTTTAGTTTAATCAATCCAGCCGTTAGGCTGCAATAAGGTTTTAATTTAGCGCCCAGCTGAGTGTGGACCCAGGCTGCCTGTGGGCCCTCATGCTTGGCTGAGACCTCAGGACAGGGAGACCCCTCTGTGAGCCCTGCTTTGCTCCATCTCCAGGGTAATCTGTGTGCCTCTTTGTTGCTTCAGGTGATGCCCTCCGAAAGCCTCGCCTTCAGAAGTCTGCCACCTGCTACTTGGACAATTTGTTCTTCAACCTGTACCCCTCCCTGGAGAAATTTGAAGAGGAGCTTCTGGAACATCTCACCAGCGATCATTTCCGGGAGGTACTGTTTCATTTCATAGGAGCTTTTGCAAACTCTCGATGGCAGAGATGCGCACACAGAGCAGATGGGGATGGCAGCTGCTCCCCCAAGGATGGACAGTCTAGCCACTGATGTGTGCTCCTGCTTCCTCCTCTTTCGGTAACTGAAAGGGGAACTTCTCTGTGCCTGATTTGCTATTTAAGTTAGTTATCAGAGGACTGGGATCCTTATTGGTGCATGAGGTTAATGCAGTCTGCTGCTGACTGAAAGGTTGGTGGTTCATCCAACCAGACGTGCCTTGGAAGAAAGCCCTGGGGATCTCCTTTAGGAAAATCAGCTCTTGAGAATCCTGTGGAGGATATTCCTCTGACACAAATGTGGTTTCCTTGAGTCAGACCTTGTGCTCAGCCATGTCCTCTGGAAACCAAGTCCCCAGCGGTGTCTCCTATCTGACGCTGTTACTTGTGGTGGTGATAAAAGCCCTGTTCTCCTGAGACTGGGTCCTTCATCTGGTCCTGACTGGTCCTCGTTAAACATTGAACTTGACATAACTTGGAATGGTCTTCATTGAAAACTAAATGAAGTCACCAAATGAGCACACACAAACTCATAAAGGACCCCACATTTACAGTGAATATTCTGAAGGTATTTTGCTCATTACAAAGAGATCACTAGAAATCGTGGTCATTTCATCTAGAAAGCTGGTTTTCTGGAAAGCTCTTCCCCTCACATAAGCAGCAGGTACTTCCGCTCGAGGCCTGTGTGGGCCCTGAGAGTGGCTTTCCTTCTCACTGCTTTCTAGCATGTTGATTTGCTGCTGGTGACACAGACCTACCTGGTTGGGGCATGTGTGAGGGGTTCAAGCTTTAACTAGGCAGTAACCCACAATAAAAAGACATTAGCCATTGTGGAAGGACCTTTCGCATTGAAAGTGGTTGTCCTTGCTCCTTTTCTGCGGTATCACCGATCGCAGCAGCCATGTCTTATCCCGCTGATGATTGAGTCCAAGGCTGTTTATGATCCCTGTGCTTATCCATCCAGCAACTGTGACATGCACACAGGGGATCCAAAGCAGGACCTGGCTTACAGACGTCAGTATGAGCAGCAGACATATCAGGTGATCCCCGAAGTCATAAGAACTTCATCCAGTATTTCCATAAAATGGTTTCGGATTTAATCGACCAGAGGTCAGTCATGTCTCTGGCGATGTCATTGACCAGAAGGTGTATGAGATCCAGTACATCTATGAGAACAGCTGGGCCAAGCTGATGGAGAGATTCTTCAAGAATACGCCTTGGCCTGAAGCTGAAACCATTGCAGCACAGGTTGGCAACGATGCCGTCTTCCTGATTTTATACGAAGAATTACACTACAGATACATCCACGCCAAAGTCAGTGGGGGACCCTCTTTGGAGCAGAGGTTTGAATCATGTTCCAACTACTGCAATCTCTTCAACTACCTTCTTAATCCTGATGGTCCCGCCCCTCTAAAACCAGTGGCTCTGCGATACCATCAATGAGTTCATCTACCAGTTTCAGTCCTTTCGTCATTACTGAGTCGGTACCGCTATAAGACTGCCAAGAACTCAGAGGAGGAGATTGACTTCCATCCAGTCCCCCAGTCCGGAATGTTCACAGTGTCCTTAACATCCTTCATTCCCTGGTAGACAAATCCAGCATCAACCATTAGCTGGAGGTGTACACAAGTGGAGGTGACCCCGGGAGTGTGGCTGGGGAGTACGGGTGGCTCTCCCTCTACACGATGCTCGGCTACTTCCGCCTGCTGGGGCTTCTGCTTCTGCACCTGCAGTCCCTGCTGGGGGATTCCTACCAGGCCATCAAAGTGCCGGAGAACATCGAGCTCATGTAACATCGAGAGCATGTAATCCCGGGTTCCTGAGTGCCACGTCACCACGTACTTTGACGTTGGCTTTGCATATTTCATGATGTGCCGCTACCAGGTCCTGGTCTTTGCCAACATCCTCCTCTCTATCCAGAGGACCAAGAGCATGTTCCAGCGGACCACGTCTAAGTGTGAGATGATTAAGGAGCAGTTGCACACACTGCTGGCCATCGCCCTCACCGTGTGTCCCATGCACATCGATGAGAGCGTCCACCTCCAGGTGCGGGAGAAGTAGGGGGACTAGATGCAATGCCTCCTGCAGGTCTATGAGGAGCTCTTCAGCTACTCATGCCCCAGGTTCCTGTCACCAGTGGTGCCCAGCTACGACAACGAGCACCCCAGCTACCACAAGGAGCTGTTCCTGCGGCACCTGAAGGTGTTCTCTGATGAAGTCCAGCAGCAGGCCCAGACCTCCACCATCCACATCTTCAAGCTCAACAGCTCCATGCCTGTGGCCAAGTTGACCGGCCCCCTGGACCTCACAGAGCAGGAGTTCCGGATCCAGCTACTGGTCTTCAAGCCCAAGATGAAGAACCTGGTGTGGACCAGCGGCATCTTTGCCCTGGACGGGGAATCTCAGTCTGCCTCAGAGGTTGACTTCCACATAGATGAGGACATGATCCACATTGCAGACCCCAAGGTTTCCGGGAGCAATGGGGATTTCTTCATCTGTCAGATCCATAAATTTGAGGAGCTCAACCAAACCCTAAAGAAGATGGGCCAGTGGCCGTGAGTGGATCACGCCCCCCCGTTGCTTTGGCACCCAGAAGCCTTTGCCTGAATCAGTCATCAGCTGAACTGAAATTTATTTGAATTAAGTAAGGACTGAAATATTTTAAGCAGCTCTCAGTAACAGACTTTCTTTGGAGAAAAAAAAAAGAAAGTGGTTGTACTTAACTATTAACCTAGAAGTTGGTGGTTCAAACTTCACCTAGTATTGCGGTGTTTCTTGGCATCTACTTATTAGTCTGGTGGTTGTAAAGCACCCCATCAGGGAGTTGAGTGAGGTTACATCTAGGGTTCTTCCAGCCTCTAATGATAAGGATTCTCTTGGTCTCATTGGGTAGAAGCTTGCTTGTCAACCACACAACCCTTGAAAACCTTTATGGGTTTAGAGGACTTCATGGCAACACTCCTCCGTTCATCGGGAAGAGGGATCCTCATCAGCCGTAGCGGGTGCTGCTGGAGCCATCGCTCAGCCGGCTCCTCGGTTCTCCGCAGAGGAAGGGATGGAAGTGCACGCTGCTCTCTCATAGTCCTGTGCTGTGTGCAGCTGGGTCTCTGCACTGTTGCTGATGGAATGGAGGGCGTTGCCTTCAGATGAGACAGACAGGGACAGCCCTGTGCGTCATCTCAGCTGACAGGCAGGGACGCTCTGGGGATGACGATGGCAGAGCTTGACTGAGGACCCAGTCTCCTTGTCCCCCCCATCCTTGCATAGACAGGGGGCTTCACATGGTGAATTGTGAAAAACTAAGAAAGAACTTTACTGCGGAGGACTGAGAAAGACCAGTGGGCGACATCCTGCCATTACTTTTGCTGCCTTTCTCTCTTTTAGTATTTTATATTAAAATGCCACAGAAAAATGCGTACAAAATGCAGGATATAATGAGTGAGTGAAAAGAGACAAAGACCCTGTAACGAGAGCCTCCAGGACCACCCCCCCAAGTGTCCTGATTACACTCAGCTCCCTGTCCTTGCTTCTCACTGCCCCTTCCCCACTGCCTCCCCTGCCTGTCCTCCCCCCTCACCCCTGGCCCCCCTGCTTTTAGCGTAATCACTTGGTGCTTTTCTTTATGGCTTTACCACCTTCATATTTATCCCTAAGCAATACAGGCTTTTGCCTGGTTTTAACCTTCATTTAAATGAAATCATGCCTTTTCTTCTTGTTATGTCTTGTTTTCATTCAATATTGTATTTGTGGATCCATTCTTCTAGTTGGTGTTCTTCCAGTCTGTCCATTTTCTTGTTTGTATGTGATTCTACATTGTGAGAACACCATGGTTCATGGATTCTTTCTACTGTTGACTTGCACTTGAATTTGCTGGCAGTCTTTGGGGGAAAAGGAACCTACTGTGAACATTCTGGAACATGCCTTTTGGTCATTACTTAGCAAAATCTCAAGTCGTGTCTTAGTTACCAAGCAAAAAGTAAAACAAAACCCGAGAAAAGCCATAGGTGGTGGCTGTAGAGGACAGACATTTATTGTCTCATATTCTGGCAACTCGAGGTCCAAATCGGGCCGTGTTTATATGTGAGGGTCTTCCTTCATCTCCTTCAGCTGCTGGTAGCTCCTGGCAATTCTTGCTGGGCTTTTGGACATATGGTGTCTTCTCCCTGTGTGTCTGTGTCTCTTCTCTTTTTGTAGGATATCACTCAGAAGGAATTAGATTTAGTACCCACCTTAGTCTAGTGTAACTTCATTAATGTAACAAAGGAAATTTTTTATTTCCAGGTTTTGGAGGACCCCTAGACCTGTAGCTAGGGCAGGGTTGTTGTTGTTGTGTACTAATGAGTTGGAACACACGGGAGGAGACTGCCCATCCTTCTCCTGTGGAGCAGCTGGTGGCCTTGAACTGAGTGCCTTCAGGATTGCAGCGTAGGTTCTTGCCACTAGTCCATAACGAGTAGAAAGGTAAAGGTTTTCTTGAAAATCCTCCTGTGTCTGCAGTGATCTAGTCAGTCAGTGAGGGGCTCCTTGGTCTGGTGCTGTCTGGATGGCTGAGTTCTCGCCATGGCTTATCCTTCAGTAACTAGTTAGGGCTCACGAAGGGGAGCACGGGAGCGAGCACAGAAACTCATGGACTTTTCCAGCCTCTGCTTGCACCACCAGGTTCACTCCTGTTCCCTTGGCCTGAGCAAGTGCCTGACTTCATCCTGAACAGAATGGTAGAGGAGTGGCTGGTAGCAGAGAGAACAGAAGCAAGAAAGAGCTGCAGAGGGGCTGGGAAGTGGCCCTGGGCATATCGGTGGGACTCTTGGGAAATTCTAGCTCAGCGGCAAGTCTAGGTGTCCTGCCGCTCCGCCAAGCCTCAGTCTTTGTGTTTTGTCCTGGCAACTGTTGTGCAAAGCCTGTGGAGTTACATTACGGTGCTGTTCTTGACTGGGGGCTCTTGATGCTTTTTCCCTTTGTTGGTTGAGGGCAGAAAGGGAGGCAGTTTATTGTTAGGGACCCATGAGTTGATTCTGACTCACCGTGACCCCGTACACAGGATAACAAAACACTTGCTGGTCCCGTGCCGACTGTCTCACAGTCACTGAGCCACTGTTGCGGCCCCTGTGCCATCCCGTCTCTTTGAGGGTCTTCCGCCTCAGCTCACCAAGCACGCTGTCCTTCGCCAGCATCTGGTCTCTCCTTATGGTCTGAGCTAAAGTCTCGCCATCCTGGCTTCTAAGGAGCATTCAGGCTGTATTTCTCCCAAGACAGATTTGTTCGTTCTTCTGGCGGTCCATGGTGTGTTATTCTTTGCCAGATCCATAATTCAAATGCATCGGTTCTTCCTTGATCTTCCGTATTCCTTGACCAACTTTGGCATGTGTGTGAGGTGACTGAAAATACCATGATGTGAATCAAATGCACGTTCATCTTCTGAGTGAGATCTTTGCTTTTTTAACCCTGGCGAGAGGTTCCAGCGCGGCAGCTTTGCACAGTGCTGTGTGTGGTTTGGTCTCTTGACTGGCGCTGCACTGCTGCTGCTTTCATTGATTTGTGCTCATTGGGTAGTGGCGTGAGGATGGTGCGGTGAAGTGCCAGTCTGCCACGTCCGTGTGGTATCCCTGAGGTCTTTGTGTTCCCTCAGGAGGCAAGGAGTCCTTTAAAAATATGAACCAGCCATTTTTCTTTGCTTGAAACCTGCTGACTTCTCACTGCCAATAGCTGATCCTTGGGCTCCGTGCCATTGGGTTCAAGGTTCAAGGCTGGCAGAGTTTGGTCAGGACAAGGCCCTTGACCTTGCCCTGACTTCACTCCATTAGTCCCGTTGCATTGCATTCTGGCCAGTTTTCTGCTGGCCACTACCTGGGACCTCTGGAGACAGGACTCCTGTTCCAACATGCTTCCATCTCAGCTGCCTTGTCCATCCTGCAGCCGGCAGCAGTGCTGTCCTCTGGAGGGTGCTCTGTAGAGCCTCGCACTCTCCGTTGCCCCCCAGGATAATGAAGGATCCTTCCCTCTGGGTGCAGGTGTTTCTGTACTGGCTGATCATCCCCCTCTGTCTAATGCTTGTTCCTTGACCACAGGAACATTATCTCTGCTGTTTGCCCCTCACATGAAGTGTGGAGAATAGTACGTGGCACGTTAGAATGACTTCCTTTTGTGTTGGCTCCAGCTCATGGTGTGCTTCATAAGATTTTCAGTGAGTTTTTGCAAATGATTTGCCAGACTTTTCTTCCAAGGCACCTCTGTGCTGCTTTTTGTTGGCTGGGGTCTGAAAGGAGGTGGTTTATTGAACCACTGGCCTTTCAGTTAGTAGCCAGGTGCGTTAACTGTTTGTATCACCCCAGCCCCCTGTTGGGTACACACGCATACAGCCTTTGAGTTAATTCTGACTCCTAGTGACCCTCGGTTGTGTTTTAGAGACTGTAAATTTTAATGTGAAGAGACTGCTTCATTTTGTCCCCCATAAAGCAGCTGGTGGGTTTGAACTAGTAACCCTTAAGAGGGTCAGCAAAGGAGAGGAAGACCCCCAGTGAGATGGGCTGACACTGTGACTTCAGCAGTGGGCTCTCGTGCCTCAGAGATGGTGAGAACGGTACAGGATAGGGCAGGTTTCAGGATGGCTGTTGACAGAGTTGCTTTGATTTGTACTCGACTCAGTGGCACCTAACAGCAACAACAGCAGTAGCCTCACACTTAATGTATTGTGCCAGCAGGGCTCAGTTTGGCACAGAGAGGGTATTTAGTATTTACTTGTGTGAATGGATAATTCAGTCAGTTGGTGCCCATTCTAGTACTCTATATAATTGGCCAATTATTAATGACTCCCTTCTATATAAATCTGTTTTAAATAGATGAGCTATTTCCCCCCTCTCTAACCATTTTTGAAACTGTCGTTCCACATGATGGGACCTTACATGAAATATAAACACTAAGCAGAAGAACAGAGTCAGATGGAAAGTGGAAACATTTCTTTTCTTGGTGTGACTCCTGCTGTTTTCTTACTGCTCAGGCTGGATTGTATGCGAGTAGAGATGTTTAAAGAATGTCATTGTCGGATTTTATACGTTCCCATAAAAATCAGTTTATTATGTATTTTCACTGTCTTTGTATTCTTGTTCCTCTCTTACTGACGGATCCTCTGCTATCCGCATTGTTTGTGTTTTCATTATCCAAAGACTGATTGGCTGAATTGAGGTTTGTTCAGCTTGATAAATGGACACTGAAGAAAACTCGAAAATGCAAGGATCGTTTTGCAAAGATCACATAATTTAATAAGCAGTAATAGCCCGGAGGGCTGTCCTTGCTCATTTGTTAGAGTGCCTGTATTTTTTTCTGTGAAGATGAAACACTTTAATATCCGGTCATCACTTTGGGGCAGGTTCCATTTTTATTGGTTTATGACTTACTGCCTAAATATGCTCTGTCTCCCCATCTCCCTTCTCCACCCCAGGCCTCCTGGCTGGGTGTAGGAGGGGGACCGATAGCTTGAACTTGATAAGCTCTGCCGCCTCCAGGAGGCTCTCCATGGTTGCCTTCTGGCCCACTCGGGGAGCAGGGCTTGGAGACTTTAGAACCTAAGACCCGGCCCATTGCCCCTGCAGGCACCTAACCTTATACCTCCTAGCTTGCTGTTTGAGAACTGTCAGCCCAGCCCTGGAAACCTAGAATGAGAATTGGGTGACCCAGGCTTCAGGGGCCGGTGGATCGCTCTGAGATCAGGCTTGTGCCAGGGACCCCAGAACTCCTAGAAGGTGCCCCAGTGGCAATGGAATGATTGTTCTTTTGTTCTTGTGGTTGGGCTTGTTGGACTTAAGTACCCTCTGATCTGGAAATGTCTGTTAACATCTCTTCTCATCTCTTCTCTCTGGGGTCTTTTCTGGGGCTGTGTGGCCCATTCTGGCCCACCTGTGCCTTTCCAGGGGAGCAGTCCCAGCGGGGGCAGTGCCCTGGAGATCCGGGAGCGGCGACTGTGCGTGGGCGTGCACAACGGATTGGCCTTTGTGCAGCGGCCCCAGGTAGTCGTTCTGGTGCCTGAGATGGATGTGGCCCTGACCCGCTCTACCAGCTTCAGCAGAAAAGTCACCTCTTCCTCCAAGAACAGGTATTTAAATGGGGATCAGCGCCCACCTGAGGAACGTTGAGAGTGTGAGGATGTAAGGGGGATCATCGTGCTGCTAGTGATTCATGTGCACAAGCGAGGACCTACTGTGTAGGGTCTTCGCTGCAGTCTTATTTGTCCTCCTGCTGAGTTCACAACTAAGGAGTCATCTCAGGGCTGGAAGGTCGCAAAGGAAGTCCAGTTTGTCCTGTGACGGTCTTGCAGTTAAGCATCGTTGAAGTTCATGGCGTGTGGATGTAGACAGTCAGTGGAGGGCACGCATGGGCTCTTCTGGATACGTCTCCGTGACTTTGTTTAAGAAAGAGCCAGAATAACATTCGTCCTGTGTAACCCTGTGCTCCCCAACCAGATGTTACCACAAATCACATGTTCGAACAGCCCCTAGGAGGCCAGGCACTGCCTTCCTCTCTCCTGGTGCTGCTCAGGTTAACCCTAGAAGTAGGACCCCCTTTCTCTGGTGCCCTCCCTAGAGGCTCACTCTCATCCCCCTGTCTGCCTGCATATAAGCTCTGACAATTTAGAAGTGTTAATGGTCAATCTTAAGAAAGCGTTGGTTTAGGGAATAACTCAGCAGCACCTGGCAGCATTGCACCAGTGAACTTGCTCCACCAGGCTGGCTGGTGGGGTGTCCTGGTGCCCTGGGGTGCTCTGCCTTGTAATTACTTATGAGGTGGGGGGGGCTAAGGGCACAGTGGGCTCCCCCTCTAATGTGCTCCTGTTTAATTTTTCTGGCTCAGCTCTGGAAGTCAAGCTCTGGTTTTAAGAAGCCGCCTGGGACTCCCCGAGATGGTCATTCACCCCTCATTTGCAATCGTCTTCCAGCTGGAGTATGTGTTCAGTGCCCCCACTGGACTGGACAGCAACGTAAGAATGATCTTTCTGCCTTGTGATTTCCTCCGGTGTGGGCCTCTGACACCCAGTGTACATGTAACCAGTGTGGACAGTTCATCCCATTGAAAGCACTGTACTTGTTACTTGTAATATACATAGCAGATGTGGAACATGATTCTAGAAAATACTTCTTCTTATGATAGCTTCCTTATGATTCTTTCCCATTTTTACGGCCGCAGAGGATTCTGCTGGGTAATAGTAAGAGATAAATAGCCCAATAGGCATCATGTATCATCATAGCATTAATTCATAATCATCTAATCGATGCATATTTTGAAAAATGAACCATTTTAATGTACTTTTCACTTAGTATTAAGTGTAGTGAAGTTTAATGTGCACAAATAGTAATTTTTATTAGGATATGCCTGTATCATAACTAAGATGCCCTGTTGGCACAATGGTAAAGTGCTTGGCTGCTAATTCAAGGTTGGGGGTTCAACCCCCACCAATGCATAGGAGACGTACCTGTTAATCTTCTGTAAAGATTATTGCCTGTCATGTGGAGTCACTATGAGCTAAAACGGACTTGATGACATCTAACAACAACATGCCATGAGTAAGAATTTGTAGTATTTAACGCCTGTGTCATCAGAGGAGCTCCAGTGGCCTGATAGTAAGGCATTGTGCTGCCAGTCCAAAGGCATGTGGTTCAGATCCACCAGCTTCTCTGAGAGAGAAAGGTGGGCAGGCTCCTCCTGTGCGTTTTACTGCCACTGAAAACCCACTGGAAGGTGAACCATGCGTCAGTTCCAACTCAGTGGTACCCAACAACAATATATAGTAAATTTTAAGTCATCAAAGGGTGCCTGAGTGGAGCAAACAGTGTCGTGTTCAGCTGCTCATTAAAAAGTTGGTGGGTCAAACCCACTAAGAAACACTTCAGAAGAAGGGTGCTGATTCACTGAAAATCAGCGATCAGAAACCCTGTCTATGGAGCACAGCTCCGCTCTGACACATGTAGGACCAATTCCAGCCACTGGTTTGGTTTTTAGTTTTGTCATCAATGTAGATTCTTTGGAAAACCTACATCCTATCCTGCTATTCCCAAGATTCAGTTTTATATTTGAAAAACTTGTGAGCAAATCAATTTGATAACATTTTTAAGAGGCCGCTGTGGCATCATTTGTGGGATCTAGTCTGTCGCTGTCACTACTCCTCCAAATGCAGATGGAAGTGTAGAAACGACCCTCGAGGAGATTGTGAGATCACATAAGCCTTTGTATGTTCTGATCTAGCCAGCAGCTGGGAACTGACCTGTCTAATGTTCATACCTCAAGTCTATATGATTCAGAGTCCTGCTTGGTGGGACAATTTAGAGGCAGGAGTTATTGTTTCTAGAAGGTCCCAGGGTAGTGCAAATGGTTAACTCTTGGTTACTACCTGACAGGTTGGTGCTCTGCGGGAGAAAGGCCTGGTGATCTGCTTCTGTAAAGATTACCACCATTGAAAACCCTGCGGAGCCCGGTTGTGATCTGAAACACACGGCACTGCCAGGGCTTTGGTTTCTGGGCTTATTCTCAGCTGATCTCAAAGCTGTTGCGCTCAGTTCTTCTTTTCTCTGTGCACTATTGGAAATGACCTTTTCTCTGTTAATTAGCAGAAATTTCAGTGAAAAAGCATCTTTGTGTGGATATGCCCAGACAGCCTGGAGAGCTGGGGCATGTAGGTTGGGCATCAGACTTCCCTGAGAGGGATGGGGTTTCTGGGGCAGGATGTCTTTTCCAGGGGGCATGGGCCTGCAGTGAACTCTGTGTGTGGGACCCCCTGTGACCCCAGTGTCGGGAGCAGCCAGGGCCCTGTGTCCCTGGAGGTGCTTGCTCTCAGTGGAACCCTCATTTACATGTAGATGACGTCCTCTCAAGAGCATTAATTACATCTGCCTTGCAATTATGAAGTCTGTATTCTGACATGGATAGGTTTTATTGTGATTTTTTAACTCTGTGTTGCAGCGCCAGCCAGCGGCAGGTGGTTCGGCTCTGCACTGCTGCCCACGGTGCCTTTGGAAGGAGGCTGAGCATTACTTCATAAATTCCTTTTGATGCAGCGGTTTATCTTAACAGGGAATATTGGATTCTGTTTACTGTCATCAAGGGTGGTTTCTTCAGCATTGTCTGGAGAGGAAATGTCCTTGTGTACAGAATGATTTTCTGTGCGAATTACTTGCTGTGTGGAGTAGTGAGACGTGTTAAGCATTCACGTGGGGAAGCCTGCATTGAAGACCCCTCAGGGTGAATGGGCTTAGAAGTTGGAGTAGGAAACAGTGAGGATCAGGCCTGGGAAGGCTGTTGTTTATCTCCTGAGGAGTCAGTCTGTATGACAGGGTGATCCAAGGGGCGTGGCCTCCCTGGGAGTCAGGGCTGGGTCTCAGAGGAGGGGACTCACCTCAACGTGCTCATGGTCCCTTTAACAGTCCATTGACTAGAACCAGAACTCTGACTCATGATGGCCCCAAGGGTGTCAGAGTGAGACTGTGCGTGTAGGGTTTTCATTGGTAGATCTTTGGAAGGAGATGCCCAGGTTTTTCTTCTGAGCCATCGCTGGGTGGACTTGAACCGCCAACTTTTTGGTTTGTACTCTAGTGTTCCTGTTTGCACTGCCTAGGAACTTTTAACAGTCTGGTGCAGTTATCGGTTTTGAGTGCAGATGAGGCCTTTCCAGCCTTGTTCCTACAATTAGCTTGCAGATTTATTTCTGCCTTTTATTTTTTTTCCTGTTTTTCAAAACTACATCATAGAACTTTTCACGCAGGTGCCAAAGTAGATTGTATCATGGACTGAGCCTCTTGCTCCTTCAGCCATTACTGACTTCATCAGCAATTTTCTTTTCATCTGTAGCCTCAACCACAAATTTTCAGATGTTGTTTAACCTGTAAACTCTTCAGCATTATATTTCTTTTCCTTTTTTTGTGTGTTTTGTTTTAAAAACACTGTTTTACTATAGGAAAGTTCCAACACATTCTCAAGTAGAAAGCAGCGTATGAACCATCAGCCAACTTCACAGTTGACCAGCTCATGTCTGTGCCTGCTCATCCTTTTCCTCTGTCTTCCCCCTCTCCTGATTTGTTTTAGAGCAAATCAGACACATCATATAAATTTGTCTGTTATGTCATATTGCAGTATGTACCTCTGAAAGATTTGACTTCAAATATAATTTTAATACCATTGTTGCTGGGAGCTGTTAACAGTTACAGCTTGCTGGTTTCTGCAGTCAAACTCTTGGCACTAACAGTCAAGAAATCAAAAGACAAATTACATTAGGTAAATCTGCTGTCAGGAACCTCTCCAGAGTACTGAGAAGCAAGGATGTCTGTCTGGAGACTAAGGTGCGCCCGATCCAGGCCATGGTCTTCAAAATTACATGCTAAGCAGCAGAGAGCTGGACAGTGACTAAGGATGACAGAAGAAACATTGATGCCTTTGAGTTGTGGTGCTGGAGAAGAGTCTCGAACATATCATGGACTGCCAAGGAAACACATAAGTCTGTCTTGGAGAGAGTGAAACCAAGTTTCTCCTTGGAGGCTAGGATTTTGAAGCTTCATCTCAAATACTTTGGCCATGTGGTCAGGAGAGACTGATCCTTGGAGAAAGACATCATGCTCAGAAGGGTGGAGGGACAGTGCAGGAAAGGAAGACTTCGGATGAGATGGATTGATACAGTAACTATGGCAATGGAGGTTGGTATGTCGAAGTCAGTGAGACTGCCTCAGGACAGGCTTCAGAGCTATTGTACATAGGGTCATTAGCAGGTGACTCAATGGCACTTAACAACAACAGGTGACCCAATGTGACGGAGTAGGATGGTCCCTCACAGTTTTCTAGGCTGTAATTTTTTTTTTTGCCAAAAATTATTTTTTTATAGATTTTTTAATTGAGAGTTTAATGAAAGTTTATAGAGAACTCGGATTTCCACTCATTATTGCACATTTTCCTCCCTGTCCCTCCCCACCCCCCCACCTCGCCAGTTTGCTTTTCTATTTGAGAAAAAATAATTCTTTCATTGTTGTACAATTCCCCTCCCCTCCAGTCTACCTTACTATGCAGGACTTTACTATTCTGAACTGTTGTCATGTAAATAATACCTAATTATATATACCTTTTAAGCAGTTATTTCCCTCCTCATCTCAATGCAGCATATGTTGTTTATCCCCTCTTTTCTTAGTTCCTCCTCACCTCACATTCCAGTCCTGTTTCATAACAGTGGCATTATGCAATATTTGTCCTTTTGTGACTGAGATATTTCACTCAACATAATATCCTCCAGGGTCACCCATTTTGTATAACATTTTATGAGTGCCTTGTTTTCAGTGCTGCATAGTATCCCATTATGTGACTATACCACAGCTTCTCTATCCATTCATTTGTTAATGGGGCTTGGGTTGTTTCCATCTCTTTGCTATTGTGAACAACGCAGCAATAAATGTGGGTGTGCATATATCTGTTTGCGTGTCAGTTCTGGTTTCTTTAGGGTATATTCCCAGTAGTGGAATTGCTGAGTCAAAAGGTATTTCTAGTTCTAACTTTTTTGACATACTGCCTTCCATAGTGGCTGCACAATTTCACACTCCCACCAACAGTGAATAATGGTTCCAGTCTCTCCACAACTTTGCCAGTATTTGGTGTTTGCTGCTCTGTTGAATTTTGCTGTTCTTACTGGGGTGAGATCATATCTCATAGTTGTTTTGAACTGGGCTGTGATCTTTATGGGCACAAATTACTAGCTCTTTTTCTCAATGAGATATTTGGAAGATTTGAACCAGCAACTTTTTTTAATTTAAATTAAATTTTTATTGTATAGTGTTTTATTTCCAAAGATTATATGCATTGTTTTTCACACGGATTTTTCCAATTTCCTTTACCCACCCCTCCCTTCACCCTTCAAATTGTGTGACCCTAGGATTAACCACCTCCGCCCATCCTCACCCCTCTGCTCCCATCCTCCTCCCTTGAATCCTCATACAATATCTATAATAATAC